AACAACAACAACAACTTATGGCATATTGCTAGGAGGGGCTATTCCTCAGAGAAAGACATGATGCTGGAAAGGGTAAAAGGTCAGAGAAGGAGGGGAGGACCCTCAACTAGGTGGACCGACATGGTGACTGTTGCAATGGGCTCTTATGTGTCAGAAAGTGTAAGGATGGAGCAGAATAGAAGAAGGTTCAGATTTTTTGTTTCTAGAGTCACTACAAGTCATATTTGACTTGACAAAACCTAACAACAGCATTTAAAGAAGCAGCTATTGGTATTCACTTTTTTTACCATCTGTAGAACTAGTAGAAAGTATATTAGGCAAGACTTGAATTTGACAAACATTTTAATCTGGAATTATCTTATAAGAATAATTTATTGACTTTAAAAGATTGTTTTTAAGTAGAAATACTTAGTTTTCAAGGGAGATCAGGTGATTTAGTGGTAAGGAGTTGCTATGCATCCACTTCCTAAACAACTTGCCTCTGGAAACTCTATGAACTTTGATGCCAACCCAAAGACATGGAGTTCAAATCCACCAGCTGCTTCATGGGAGAAAGATGGGTAATCTCCTCCCATGCAATCTACTGCTTCTGAAAACGCACTGGAGAGTCAGCTATGAGTTGGTTCCAAATCAACTGTATACATAACAACAACAATAATTCAGATTTCTATTTATTGTTTCATCACTTATATTTTTATTAGCATTTCCTCATCTCATTTATAACCATATGGAGATAGGAAACATCCATGGCATACACCCTTCTCCATTTGAACTGGCATACACCCTTCTCCATTTGAACTATGCAGTGTTTCTCTTGCTTTGTTCTGACAAGTGCCTCCTGGTTTCGCATAAGCACAATCAAGTGTTCTGGGATTCCCATTCTTCTCGTAGTCAGCCACAGTTTGTTTTGGTCAACACAGTCAAACGCCTTTGCATAGTCAATGAAACACAGGTAGACATTCCTCTTGCACTGCTTTCAGGCAAGATCGATTTAACAGTAGCTATAAGGTCACTAGTACTACAATTTCTTCTAATCCCAGCCTGTACCTCTCTGGTAGTTCTCTACTGATGTGCTGATTCAGTCATCTTTGGATAATCGTTAGCAGATTCTTGTTTGCATGTGATATTAATGATATTGTTCAATAATTTCCACACTCTGCTGGATCACCTTTCTTTGGAATGGGAGCATATATAGATCTCTTCCAGTTAGTTGGCCAAGTGGTTGTCCTCCACATTTCTAGGCACAACTTAGTGAGCACATCCAGGGCCACATCTGTTTGTTGAAATAAATCAGTTGATATATCATCAATTCCTGGAGCCTTGTTTTTTGCCAGTTCTTTCAGAACAGCTAGCTTGAACTTCTCCCTCATCACCATAGGCTCTTGCTCATACATTGTATCATGAAATTTTTCTAAGTCCACCAATTCATTTTGGTACAATGACTCTGTATATTCTTTCCATCTTCTTCTAATACTTCCTGAATAATTTAATACTCTGGCCAAAGCATCCGTAGTATTGCAACTTGACATTTGAATTTGTTTGTCAGTCCTTGAAGCTTAAGAAATGCTGCACGAGTTCAGCCCCTTTGATTTTCTGACTGAACTGTGGGATGCTGGGCTCTATGAGGAAAAATGTGGCATCAGGATTAGAGGAAGATTCTTCAACAATCTGCGTTATACAGATGACACAGCTCTGCTTGCTGAAACTGAGAAGGACCTGAAGCGCTTGCCACAGAAAGTCAAGGACTAAAGACTTCATTGTGATGGATGAAGAGATTGTTCACAGCTTTAGTTTGCTTGGCTCCACAATCAACACTCTTGGCAGCAGCAGCCAGGAAATTAAAAAGACATACTGCATTGGGAAAGTCTGCTCTCAGAAAACTCTCCAAATTAGTGAAGAACAATGACGTTAATCTGGAAACTAAGGTGTGCCTGATACAGGCCATGGTCTTTGCTATCGCTTGCTATACATCAGAGAGCTGGACAATGACTAGGGATAATAGAAGGAGAATTGATGCCTTTGAGCTGTGATGCTGGAGAAGACCATTGAATATACTACAGACTGCCATGAAAACGAACAGGTTTGGCCTGGAGAAGGTTAAACTAGGCTGCTCTTTGGAGGCAAGGATTCTGAAGCTTCATCTGACATACTCTGGACATGTTGTAAGGAGGGACTAGTCCTCGGAGTCATGCTTGGGAGAATGGAGGGACAGTGCAGGAGCGGAAGACCCTGGATGAGATGGATTGATTTAGTGACTGTGTTAATGGGGTAGGTTTGTCAGAGACAGTAAGATTGGCACAGGATAGAGCAGAATTGAGGACTGTTAATACATAAGGTCACTTTGAGTCACAGATGACTCTATGGCACTTTAACAACAACAACATTTATAATATCCTCTTTTTTCAATCTCTGTAGCACCTACTGCTATATAACATTACCCAGGAGGGGCTAGGGTAGCCTTTTAGAAACAAGTACATTAGTGTTTCTACAATAAAATACATGAATACTCATATGACATAATATCCAGAATAAAATGGTATGGGTTTCTAGTCTACCACTCACTTTTTAATTGTATAACGCCATTATTTACATCATCCTATTAAGATCTTGTGGTACTCTCACTTCCTGTTCACTTTACCTATTCATCCCCTAATCTCTTCTCTCTTTCCTTCCCCTCCTCTGTCTGCATATCACCGTCTGCAATTATTTCTACTGATGGGTAAACCATCCATTATTCTTTATTATTATTATTTTTTAACCTCTCTCTGTCTCTCTCCTCACACCCATTTAATCCCACCAGCCATTGTTCACAACAAAAATGTCTGCTTTCATAAAGATCTAAACCTCAGAAACCCTAAGGGACAATTCCACTTGGGATCAACTTGTTGGCAGTGGGTTTGATTTTATTTGCTGTAAAATTGACTGGAAATAACTATAAAGTGACGCTATGGGTTTAATGAAAAGTTTTCATGTGTGAAAAGTGCTTGTGTATGAATTTTGTGTAACTGTACAAGTTGATAAATTAATTACTACTCTATTTCACACGGAGAAGCTTACCTCCAAATTACATCATACACAGGATCAAGACATACACCAAATCCTTGTAGATCCTCTTGCTCAGAATCATTGAAAGTTTTACAGCTCCCATCCACTTTATTAATTAGAAGACATTTAAATGGAGGAGGTTCTGATATAGAAGCTGGGACCAAGCCTTGGGAAAAATGATAAATATTTAAAACATGAAGTACTGTTTTATATTCACACAAACTCTAAGGTATTTGTATTAATTTGCATTGCAATGAAGATAAAACTGATATTGAAAGACATTGTTGTTATTGTGTGTCTCTGAATCAACTCTAACAGTGACCATATAGGACAGAGTAAAACTGGATCTGGAGCCTCTGGTGTATTGAAACCATTTGAAATCCAGTTAGCAGCTAAGTACTTAACTACTGTGGCATTAAAAGACTTGAAGTGGTGAGGAATCAAATCCCAAGCTCTTTGAATCCAAAACACATGCTCCTAATTCCCACACCACTCTTCTCTAAAATACAGCTAGTCATAGTGTAAGGAGCACAAGCATGGGCTGAATGCTTGGCCTTAATGAAATACCAAAGTGTGAATTATGTTATGTATTGTCTAGTCAAACTCAACTCATAGCTAATCTTCCAATGGATTTTCTGAGGCTGCATTTCATACAGGAGACTGCCCATTTGAAATATATAACATTTCATATAAATCATCCTTTATTAAAACAAACAAACAAATAAACAAACAGAAAGAGTACAGCACTCTCCTCCCTACTACAAAACAGATTTTGATTGGCAAATATATATATATATATATATATATATATATATTTTTTTTTTTTTTGGTACCAGTGTTTATCTTATATATACCTTCCTTTCCAATCTCCTAATTCTTCCATTCTTAGACACAAAGAGATACTTACAGGCTTTCCCCCCTTTCCTTCCCATTTCTTTAAATGGAAAGAAAACAAAGACTAAAAGCCAGTGATCGTATTTCATTTTAAGAAAAAATAAATTATTCATTATAGATAGAGATAAAGGGAATTTTGGGAGATGGAGGTTGTTGATTTTTTGTATTACCTATTATGTGTTTGCTGGCAAAAATCTCTGATGTAGCAAGAACATGAGAATTAATAAGTGCTTCGTCAATTCGTAGGAAAGTCTGGTCCCCGCTTGCACCTATCCAGGTAGCTTTCCGTCCATATTTTGACCCAATGTTTGGCATGGGAGCTGGCTTTGCATTCCAGTATGGCACATCTAAAATTGGTCGGCCCAACTGTCCTTTCTAAAAGATTACATAAAATTATATTAACAAGATTACTGAAATAATCCATAATTTTCACAAAGTTAAAAAAAAAGGACAAAAGCAAACTCTGTGATACATTTTTCTTCTTCATCAATAATTAATAGCTGTTTCTGTTTTTTATGTACATAAGAAGCACTTTATGAAATATCAATTATTTAGAGTAATAAAATAATTTCTACTGCGTCTGGGAATTATCACTTCAATAAATTAAGAAGTATATTATAAAAACACAATTATGAAGTTTAAGTATTTTTCCATGTCATAATTCTTCTGCAAATAGTGACTATCTTTCCTATATAGAAAGGAAAAGTGTGACACATGCATGATATACCAGTAGTTTATTTTTAAAAATCATTTGCATGTATAAGTTGATAATATAAAATTATATTGAGTTCACTCTTGAACACACACCATCTTAGAATACTTGGGTAATAAACCACAACAGGATAACTAATGTTGGAACTGTGAATATACTTTGCAAATTATATATCATTATGACCTTGTATAAGTTATTTCCCTAATTTTTAAGATAAACAGAAGAATCATTATTACATACAGAAAGTATCCAGAAAATATTAACTCATTTAAAAAATAAGATGGTCTAGAGGACAGGATTCTGATCTGTTGTTCATAGGGTTGCTATGACTCATACTCGATGGCACCTACAAACAACAACAACAACAACAACAACAATGTAAGTACATGGTGAAGAGTGATATTAAGAAGCAACAGGTATCTTTGGCTACTCGTAGCACTTGAAAAAGAACAAAAGAATGTTCATTTTGGAACAGTAAATATTTATCCACCCCTGGCTCTGGAATGTTCTTTCTCCATGGCATTCCAGATCCAGAAACCCTCTGAAAATGCAGGATGGGAGAACCCAGGGTTATGTAAAAGTGTGTCAATGATAGGAAACAACAAACAGAAAAAGCCTGAAGAACAGGAAGCCTGATGAGCTGCCAACAGCCTGGTCAAGTGCTGACCCAAGAACCAACTTTTAATTTCAGCCACAAACTATGCCCAGCAATGGTGCTTTGAACTCTGGGCTAAACCAGGAAGATAAAAGCAGCTAGAAGATTTTAAAAAGTAGACAAATATCCAAATGATTATCTTCACACTCATTCAGAGGCTATCCCTATTCCTTGAGAAAAGAACAGAAAAATGTGAACACTGTGCATAATACTCCATAAACTCCACTAAAAACTGTAGTGCTTTCAAGTCTGAACTGCCTCATAACTGACTCCTCCGGCAAGTTATTTTGACAGAAATCTCACAAGTGGAGAGTGAGCATCTTCCTCCTGGTGGAGCTGATTCCAAGTGTCAGAGTGGCTGCCTCTTTGCTACCAAGTTGGGACTGACTTACTATCATAGCTGACCCTCCAGAGGGTTTTCAAAGGTAGAAAAGTGCAAAGGAAGAGATTACTTATTTTTACCAGTGCAGTATCTGTTAACTTTGAAAAGTGTGTGGTATCGGGATTGTAGGAGGACTCATCAACAACTTGCGCTACAGAGATGACACAACTTTGTTTCCTGACACTGAGGAGGACCTGAAGTATTTTCTATAAAAAGTCACAGACTACAGTCTCTAATATGGATTGAAGCTCAACATCAGGAAAACAAAGATTTCCACCACTGGGCTAACTGGCAGTACCATGATAGATGGAGACACGATTGAGATTGTCAACAATATCAGCTTGTTGGCACCAGTAGCTGGGAAATCAAAAGATTAATTGCATTAGGAAAGTCTGCTGTCAGGGCCCTCTCCAGAGGAAGACCTTAGATGATATGGACTGCTGCAGTAACTGGGGTCAGGGGCTGGTGTGCCAGAAGCAGTGAAATTGTTTTAGGATAGAGCATCTGCAGAGCTATGGTCACTATGAGTCACAAGTTACTCAGCAGCACATAACAACTGTGGAAATAAATATCTACACCTTTAATACCAACCAACTAATGAAGATTGCTTCATATGCATGTGAAAGGTGGACAATGAATAACAAAGATAAAAAATTGATGCCTTGAAATGTGCTATTAGCAAAGACTACTGCATATATGATGGACTTCCAAAAGAACAAACAAATCTGTCTTGAGAAAGATGTAGCCATAATGCCCTTAATGGTAAAGATGTGAGCTTTTGTCTCAAATACCTTAGGCATGTGAGGGCAGGCTAGTCTTTGGAGAAGGACATCAAGCTTCGAAAGGTGAAGAGTGAGCAAAAGATAAGATGACCCTCAATAAGATACACTGTTGTAGTTACTCCAACAATGGGCTCAAGCAGAATGGAGACTGTTGGATGCTACAAGGTTTGGATCTATTGTACACAAGGTACTACGAACTGGCTTTGACTCAATAGCTCCAAGACAATATGACAGAAAAAAGATCAGACCTAGGACAGATAATGACCAGCCCTGAGGGATTCAGAGAAGGGTTATAAATAAGCCACGTTTACATTCATAAAAGATCACAACTGAGACTTGAAGGATTAGATGAAAATGATAGTCGTATGATTTCAAACTGCGGCATTCTCATGGTATCTCCACACAGAAAACCAACACAGAGATAAATTAAAGTACATGTGATTCGAACCTCCGCAGGTCAGAGAAAGGAACCAAATTGTGACAAGAGTTCTTGCCACCTGTTTGTCCTCACAAGCATGTACTTGTGGGTGTTGTGAAAAAGAGAGTAGAGGAGTCAAGAAAGCAGAGACAGATCTTCCTACCAAAACCAAAAATCTAATAAAATGAGTTTCAGACAACTCAAAGGTTCAAACCCACCAGCTGCTCAGGGAAAGATGTGCAATCTCCCGTGTGATTTGCTCGCACTAAAAACCAACTGGAGGGTCAGCTATAAGTCTTTACACCTTCAAAGTACTAACAACAGCAAAAAGTTGGGATTTGAGGTTCATAGGACCAGCAAAAGCAATAGAACTTGGAAGGAGTAGAATATTTCTTCTCATCAAATTGGAATGAAATAAAAACAAAAAGAATGACAGCACCTTACATAAACAACACTGTGGAGAAACTGACAGCTTCATATTTAATGAGTAGGGATGTAGAATAAAAGAAAATTGCCAGTATCTTACAAAACTTCATGAATATTTTAACCTTGGATTTGACAATCAAAGTTTTTGGAATTTTCAGAAATGATAAAATTCTAACTATAGATATAGCTATAACTGAAATATAGTATAAGTTACTTAAATGTCCAAGAACAGATTACTGGCTGAATAAAGAATTTACACAGAAGTAAAAAACAATATAGAAAATCTCTGTGGACTGATATGGACTGATTTCACGAATTATATGGAAGAGTTAAGAGCAAAATGCAAAAGAGCGTGTATAATATGCTATCTTTTGAAAAAGCAAGGAGAGGGAGTAATTATGTAGGTATTTGTATAAGGAGGTTTGGTGGCACAGTGTGTGACATACTGCACTGCTAATGAGGGGCAGTGGTTCATATCGACACACTGCTCCAAGGGAGAAGGACAGGCCGTTTCCTTCTGTAAAGATTTACAGCCTCAGAACCCCAACAGAAGGTTGTTATGAGTCAGAATTGACAATGAGCTTGATTTTTGGTGTAACATGTGTGTGTATAGGTGTACTTACTTTGTTGGGTGATGTCAACTCAACAGTGATTTATAGACTTAGTGCTAAGGAGTTGGGCTGCCAACCCAACTGCATGTACCTTGATCCACCAGCTACTCCACAGGAGGAAGATGGGCAGTCTTTTCCCGTGCCAGATACTGCCTCTAAAAACCCACTGGAGGGTCAGCTGTGAGTTGGTTCTGACTTGATGACATTCAACAACAATCATATGACTGGGTAGCACAGCCAACAAGTGTGTCTGAAGCTATTATTTTTATAGGAATACATTTTGCCACAGAGGTGTTAGTTTGTCTGAACCACTGACCTTCCTATTATTTGCAAAGCACTTAACCACTGTATATCAGAGCTCCTTACATGTACACATACACATGAGTACTGGGTGGACTTATGGTTTTTAAAATACATACACATATAGACATACATTAAGTACTTCTAGGGTAGCAAAGACATTCTGTATAAATCAAATCATGAAATACCAATTTGGTACCTAAAAGTCTCTTGACTAAAAAGAATCAAGAGTTCCCAATGATTGACTCTTTAAAAAATGAAATAAAATATGTACAAGTTGAATCTGGAATATCTTATTATACCAGGAAGAGCAAAATTACACACATACCAAAACTATTAGCAGGGACATTACAAGAATCAGTTTGAAATGGTTACCACTGATCAAACTGAGACAAAGCAAGCACTCAAACATTAAGGATAGAATTTAATAAGAAAAAGATAAATCCCCAGAATCAGATTCCATACAAATAAAAAATAGACATGTAGACAACAAACTAACAGAAAAGGTGGGGGTATGGGGTACCTGCTTACAGCAGAAAGAAAACTGCCAAGGAATCTGGAAGATAGCTCACTACCTGGTCAACTGACTAGAAGTGATCCCTATTGTTCCCAATTCCTAAAAAAAGGTGGTTCAATAGAATGTGGAAATAATTGTTCAAAACCATTAATATCACACACAAATAAAACCCTGTTGAAGATGAATTAAAAAAATGGCTCAACAGTAAATCAAGACAGAACTTCCAGAATTTCAAGCTAAATTTAGAAGAGGCAATGGCACAAGGGATATCACTGCTGATGTGAGATGGATATGGTAGAAAGCAGAGAATATCAGAAAGATCTATTCATGTCCTGTTGACTATGCAAAGGCATTTGATTGTGTGGACCATAACAAATTCTAGCTAACACTGAGAATAATGGGAAACCTAGAATAAATATTAATTGTGCTTATGCTAATCTTATACATACACCAAGAACCTGTTGTCCAAACGGAATAAGGGAATACTACATGGCTTGGAGTCAAGAAAGTGTGTGTTAGGGCTGTATTCTATGTGCATACTTATTCAATCTGCATGTTGAACAAATTATTGG